TTGGAATGTAAATAATGTCAATTTACACTTTACTCCTCAATAGTGTATACGTACTAATATCATGATACTGAAATAGATGGTAACCTCTCCGCCACAACAAAATACTGAATCACTTTAGGGTCATGTGACAGTGTTATTTTGGTACGCAATCTACTAGTAATATTCGTCCCAACGATTCAACGTGACAAGTGTTCAAACAGGTTGTTTCAATGTCGGGTCTTACACTCACACTCACGTGTTACTAACATATATTGTCAATACTCCCAGACCACGATATAGGAGTAATATTACTACTTTACATTTAAAGCTAAATTGTACATATCATCATTATACTTGGCAAATTTCAAAAACCTGGACGTGTTATGTATTTATTTTGACCATAAAACACACATTGACAACTGTCATGTATAGCGTTAATTTTTCGCACACTATCAATGTCGCCCACTCAGTTAAACTCAGCTGTTCGGGTGATATATGATATGTGATAGCTTTATTACACTGTTAATCAGTGATGGTTTACGCGTTATATGCCAACATTACATCCGATTCGCCTTCGTTGATTCAGGTAACGCCTCACAGAAATGGCAGATCACTCCGGTGATTATGCTAATTAATAGTTGTTGACTAGCATTGACAACGATTTTGATAGACTACTTATATACATTGGACATTTAAATCGAGTTGTTTTCAGTAAACATGGATGAAAGTATCGCTTTTACACTTAAAGTATCCATCTCTGCGATCGAATCGAAGCAACCTTTCACCCACCCACTCATGAATAATCAATGACATCATTAATAATTAATATCAGTCAAATGCCCGCAGATGCGTCCAGTCGGGATTTCTTTAGCGGTCAGGGTAGTTTTCGCGATCACGTTAAAATGATAGAACAATAATTATTTCTTTTTGTAAAACAAAAAAGAAGTCCCGATATTGCCAGTCTACCTTTCCGGCTATTTGAGATACCTTTTCGTTTTATTACATTTGCCCCAATTATGATTGGACGCATGGTTCAGAGGCGCGTACAATCATATTAACGTGTTTTAAAAAGCTTCAATATGCGACCTCTCAGTGTATAATCATACACGGGTTTGTGAGGAGAATCTTTATTCGGGCGATAAGTTTATAAATGGCAGACTAAACATTAAAAAGTGCAATTAACTATTATAAAAACGATTATCCCGATGCTATGCTTTGTAAATGAAATCGTGGTTTGTTAAAAGATAAAAAGGGTTGATAAGATTGTTAATTTTATTTCTCGGGTTAGATTTGAAAATATAACATTACTCTATATGACCCAAATTTTTAAAGAAAAAAAACATCACCTTCTTTCTGACACTGTCAAAAACATGCCAGATTTAAACTGAGGCGACCAGTATTACTGTTGAAAAGTGAAAATTTTCTGGCAAATGTAAAACAGATATCTTACTATTAATTTACCATGAATCTAATTCCTTTTTGTAGCAGGTAGGATGACGTTTCGTAACTCTTCATTGGTTCGAACCACAATGCGTTTATCTCTTTTATATAAGTTAATTTTCAATGAATATGTGTCCTACTTATATCAAAGCATGGTAGTCAACAGACGTGTTATGACTTGAAAGAAATGTCACGAGAATTATAAGATTGATAAATAGTGTTAGTAGCAGATAAAAAGAGCTCCAAATGCACTAAGGAAACAGCTTGCAATTGCTAAGAAGTAGAGACATTTGAAGACAGAGGCAGTATAAAAATGTGGAAAGGAAGCTGGTAGCAGGATTAAGAAGTAGAAAAAGTTGAAGACAAAAGTAGTATAGAAATGTGGAAAGGAAGTTGATAACAGGATTAAAAAGTGGAGAAATTTGAAAACAGAGGTGGTATGGAAATGTGGAAAGGGGGTTGATAACAGGATTAAGAAGTGGAGAAATTTGAAAACAGAGGTGGTATGGAAATGTGGAAACGGAGTTAATAACAGGATTAAGAATTGGAGAAATTTGAAAACAGAGGTAGTATGGAAATGTGGGAAGGCAGTTGATAATATGATTAAAGAGTTGGGAAAGTTGAAGATATTGGTGCTATGGAAATGTAGAAAGGGACTGATATCAGGAATAAAAAGTGGAGAAAATTGAAGACATTGGTGGTTTGGAAATGTGACAAGGGAGTTGATAACAGAAATAGAAGTGGGGAAAGTTGAAGACAGATGTGGTATAGAAGTGTGGAAAGGGGGTTGATAACAGGGTTAAGAAGTAGAGAAATTTGAAGACAGAGGTGGTATGGAAATGTGGAAAGGGGGTTGATAACAAGATTGAGAAGTGGAGAAATTTGAAGACAGAGGTGGTGTGGAAAGGGGGTTGATAGCAAGATTGAGAAGTGAGAAAGTTGAAAACAGAGGTAGTATAGGAATGTGGAAAGGGGGTTGATAACACGATTGAGAAGTGGAGAACGTTGAAGACAGAGGTGGTGTGGAAAGGGGGTTGATAGCAAGATTGAGAAGTGAGAAAGTTGAAAACAGAGGTAGTATAGGAATGTGGAAAGGGGGTTGATAACACGATTGAGAGGTGGAGAACGTTGAAGACATTGGTGGTGTGGAAATGTGGAAAGGGGGTTGATAACAGAATTAGAAGTGGGGAAAGTTGAAGACAGATGTGGTATAGAAATGTGGAAAAGGTTCTGATAACAAGATTAAGAGGTGGAGAAAGTTGAAGACAGAGGTGGTGTGGAAATGTGGAAAGGGGGTTGATAGCAAGATTGAGAAGTGGAGAACGTTGAAGACAGAGGTGGTGTGGAAATGTGGAAAGGGGGTTGATAGCAAGATTGAGAAGTGAGAAAGTTGAAAACAGAGGTAGTATAGGAATGTGGAAAGGGGGTTGATAACAAGATTGAGAAGTGGAGAACGTTGAAGACATTGGTGGTTTGGAAATGTGGAAAGGGGGTTGATAACAAGATTGAGAAGTGAGAAAGTTGAAGACAGAGGTGGTTTGGAAATGTGAAAAGGGAGTTGATAACAGAATTAGAAGTGGGGAAAGTTGAAGAGATGTGGTATAGAAATGTGGAAAAGGTTGATAACAAGATTAAGAGGTGGAGAAAGTTGAAGACAGAGGTGGTTTGGAAATGTGGAAAGGGGGTTGATAGCAAGATTGAGAAGTGGGGAACGTTGAAGACAGAGGTGGTGTGGAAATGTGAAAAGAGAGCTGATAACAAGATTGAGAAGTGGAGAACGTTGAAGACAGAAGTGGTTTGGAAATGTGAAAAGGGAGTTGATAACAGAATTAGAAGTGGGGAAAGTTGAAGACAGATGTGGTATAGAAATGTGGAAAAGGTTCTGATAACAAGATTAAGAGGTGGAGAAAGTTGAAGACAGAGGTGGTTTGGAAATGTGGAAAGGGGGTTGATAGCAAGATTGAGAAGTGGAGAACGTTGAAGACAGAGGTGGTGTGGAAATGTGAAAAGAGAGCTGATAACAAGATTGAGAAGTGAGAAAGTTGAAAACAGAGGTAGTATAGGAATGTGGAAAGGGGGTTGATAACAGGAATAAGAATTGGAGAAATTTGAAAACAGAGGTGGTATGGAAATGTGGGAAGGCAGTTGATAATAGGTTTAACAAGTGGGAAAAGTTGAAGACATTGGTGGTTTGGAAATGTGGAAAGGGAGCTGATAACAAGATTGAGAAGTGAGAAAGTTGAAAACAGAGATAGTATAGGAATGTGGAAAGGGAGTCGATAACAGGAATAAGAAGTGGAGAAATTTGAGGACATTGGTGGTTTGGAAATGTGGAAAAGGAGTTGATAACAGGATTAGGAGTGGAGAAAGTTGAAGACATTGGTGGTATGGAAATGTGGAAAGGAAGTTGATAACAGGATTAAGAAGTGGAGAAATTTGAAGACATTGGTGGTTTGGAAATGTGGAAAAAGAGTTGATAACTGGATTATGAGTGGAGAAAGTTGAAGACAGATGTGGTAAAAGAAGTGTGGAAAGAAAGTTGATAACAATATTAAGAAGTGGAGAAAGTTGAAGACATTGGTGGTATGGAAATGTGGAAAGGGGGTTGATAACAGGATTAAGAAGTGGAGAACATTGAAGACAGATGTGGTAAAGAAATGTGGAAAGGGAGTTGGTAACAAGATTGTGAAATGGGAAAATTGGAGACAGAAATGGTATGAAAATGTAGAAACAAATAATATATAATGTTATACAATAACAAAAGCGATTGGTCGGTTATTAGGCCTGTTAAAGGAGTTAATAGTTCTGAATAGTTCAAATAGTTCTACTGAAAATGTTCAGATTTTACCATAAAAGGAAACTGCCAGTATCAAATGACTTGGTAATTTGGTATAATATATGAATGATTTGTCTTTCCCTGAAACAGGTGTATATGAACCAATATTGTGCAATAGTTTATGGTTAGAGTTGGGAAAAAACGTTTCAAATGACGTCACTAATCATTACACCAGGTGAATAATTATTCGTGACGACATTCGATTCTGACATTCAAAGAAATGGGTAAACAAAATCTTAAATAGCGGCAAACATAATTTATAAGTTTTATGGCGTTACAATTATGTCTCAACTACTTTTGGATTCTCATCATATCACTGTAACTTCAGAGTAAAGTGGAATTGAAACGTTGTTGATCTGCTGTTCGCATTGTTTTTATTTGATGTCATGTTCCACGTGCCATGGTTATGTTACTTGAATTAGAAATCATAAACAACATCAATTGGAAATTAAGGGTGTTAATAACAAAGCAACTTCTGCATTGTTTGTCAAATCGCTGTCATACATTACGGAAAAGCTGCTATGTCATCAATGCAAGCAATACACGCTCTCTTCTGTTGAAGTGCTCAACCCTTCAAATGGTCGTCAACTGACTTTCAACCAATGAACAAAACATTATACACGTGCGGGCAAAGTAATCTGTTCATGGATATTTAACATACACATAAAACAACGCATCTTAACCTTCTTCAACAGGCTGATTCGTAAACATATCCACAAATAATTGAAACTTTTCATCCCAATCCTAAAAATCACATTTAATTTTATTTACTTCAAATTAATCAGTTTACAGTCTAGTTGCAGTGACCTTGATATCATCATCCTCAAAGGAGGCGTTATCATTCGCGGTATCCAGTTTTTCATCCAGTTCTTCAGGTTGCTTTGTTTCTTCTACTTTAGGTGTCAATGTATCAATAAACCGCTGAAAAATAAATAATTGAATAATTTTATAATTCTAAAAATCCTAATGCGAAAAAAAAAATGATTATAAACTAACGCTATGAAAACTTACTTCCTTTAAGTTTCCCTTGGACACGACGAGTGAGTGCACCATACCCAGTGGTATCCATACAATAGACATAGATGTAACCATCCATCCAAAGAGTTCCACCCAGTCTGGATACACGTAGTCACCATACGTCACAACCTCATATGACGCACAATTAGAGATGAATATAAACTGAGAATAAAGGAAGAACAATAGTATCAAGCCACGGTTATATACACCGATAGAATATCATTCCAATGACACCACCACAAAATTATCGCTCCAGTGTTATGAACACCATATAAAAACAATAGTTTCATCCCAGTTATACACACCACATAAAACACAACTACTTACTCCACACAATATGGGGGAAATAACCCACCAACATACTCTGAAGAATATGTTTGGAAGTTCACCCATCATTTCTTTGACATTGCGTGATAATCGTCCAGCTCCTGAAAAAAAAGAAAGAAAAAAAAAAGGTTATGAATATCAGACACATCAAAACTGCGACTATATGAAACATTTCTTTCACGTTTTGAGCAAATATTAGCATCTGTACATGGAGGTAACTATGTTCATTGCATCAAGTAGAACACAGAAGTATATTCTCACCGTATATGTATGATATGGCTATGACCTCGAACGTGGCTATGATGATGACTGCAATAACTGCTGTGTACCAATCCATGATTTGAAACCAATACATGCCACCCTGAAATTACCAATTCAATTCATTTGTGTCGGGCTTATGTATATGAATTATGACTGAAAAATGATCATTGTGACCCAGAAATGAGACCTGGAATCAGGTATATTTTTTTAGAAACAAGAGTCTAAATAAAGTTTCTGTGACGTCGACATGGAGTCAATTTGGTTAAGCAATGTAGTCAGTCACGAAAGCGCTTCCTCGCTACAGGGTGCAACTTATTAAAACTGTCCATTGTCATGGAGAATTATCGTGCTCTCCTTAGTTTCACCTCGGTTGCTGTGGTTGAAGTACAAGTACAATGCTATAATACGCTGGTATAACAGCATACAACATTGGTCATTACTATTATATTATCATTCAACAGTGTTTGAACATACCTCAAAGATAGTTGGAAGACCGACACAGAAAGCAATTACAACCACAATTAGAACTAACAGTTCTTTACGCCTCAAATATTTCTTTACCAATGTTGGATAGGCGTCCATGATTGTTGTGATCACTACCTCCGTCATGGCAAACTACAGAGAGATGTGTATGACGTGTCACGACATTGGTGCTACGGCATTGTTGGTAGAAGTCGCGGTTAAAGATCTACGGGTTTTTTTGATGTTAAATTAAACGAACGCAATGAATTATCGGAAATGACACAATTTTTCATCGATATTACTTATGTGCGTCCTAGCAGTATGCTACATTAAGATAGATCACCATTCCCTCATTTTCTTGTTATTTCACAAGTGTAAGATTAATATTGGCATAAACATTCGATACCCAATACGAAAATGGTATTGTAATCTTGGGCGTGTATCGAGTACAGAAACAGGGCATTCAAATTAGAGTATTTTAAAGTAGTAGTTTGGTATTTCAAATAGAGCAATTACAGATATATTTTGCTAATACGTAACAGTACCTGGCTGTCCAGTGCCAAGCAGCATAACATGAAGAAGAACAGAAAGACCAAAGATTCCCGGCAGGCATTTCGGGAAAAGCCGTTGGTACAGAAACAAACACAAGACCGGGACCTACAGAAGTATGATATGGATAATGATTACATAGTTCGACTCGCACAGCTTCGTTAACGCCGGCCTCCCATGACCGTTCTCGTGTGAGGTGACACCTTTTGACGCCACAACAGCGCTTCGTCGCTAGAGGGAGACACTTACAGAAAGAGTATGCACACGCGTATTTCGATATAAAATATATGCTGTCTGTGTAACAGGGGTGCGTGGGATTCTTACCATCAGTGACTACGTCATCTACAGTCACGCCCGGACCAGCAACGTACGCCATGTATCCCAAGATGGCAAAAATGGTGAACGCTGCTAACAGGCTCGTCCCAGCATTTATTAATGATACTGTCATGACGTCACTGAAATTAGAATATTAAGATTATTGCTAAAGTAAGATACGAAAACTCCCTTCTCATTTCTTCAGCATGACCAAATAATTGTTGAATATTTTTTAAACCTAAATGATCTTACCCCGCCATTTAGCGTTGATATGTGCCAAAAGCAAACTACATGCAATTTATATGCCTGGGGCAAGTAGGTACATATTAAGTATATTTCTAACTTCAAACGGGTTTATTCGTCATCGTAATAAATATGCCTATTTTATGAATGTAATGTGTCATTTTCATTACAATATATTGGGTCTTGTATAGTATAACATGATAACTTACGCAAATATATTATTGTTAAATTTGTTGTAACTAGACATGGCTATAAGTGTTCCAAATCCTATACCAATCGAGTTGAAATTCTGGGCCGCTGCAGCCGTCCACACCTGTTAAATGTGAAAATGATATTGATCCATGATGTTCTGGATAAATACAATTACTTGACCAATGAGTATACGTACAGAGACCAAATAGTACCGGGGTGTTTACACTGATGACACAGGTATCCACAGTTACCTTGTCAATGTCATTTATAATATGTGTTACAAAATATACTACTTGGCAGTTTCTACGTTTTGCTATCTCCATTCGAGATACATATCTGAATCGTGATCAAATAAAATTAAAAGGGACATCAGTTCTTGTTCTTTTTTTTTTTCATTTCAGATGTCGAATATTGTGCCAGAGCAAATAAAAAGTGTGCCATATTTTGTTAATAAAAATGCACGAAACACGTACGTGTACTTCAAGTTCAGTAGGTAATACATTTCTGAGATGTGATGCTCCTTAAAATCTGCATTATTCAATTAATGAAGTATCACATTTATAGCAATTTGGGGTTATTTTTTGCACGTGAATTTAGAATAAGTCAATATTAACCTATGTCATAAGTTAATTGGGTATATTTTCTTGTAGTTTGTTTCACTTAAAACGGCTTTAATTATTATGGTACGCAAATTAAATGCACCTGTCTCGAAGTAAACATTATGTACGCGTCAGAAATAGCTAGTAATGTGTACGAAATGTACAATAGGTTTAAACTCACCGCAGGGTCCAGTAGCATTTCCCAGTCAGGTTGTAGAAAGTATTTGATGCCATCAACTGCTCCTGGCAACGTACATGCATATATCAGCAGTACAACGAATACAAAGTAAGGGAAGGTGGCAGTAAAATACACAATCTGGAAATGAACATAATGTAAAAAGGATGGACCATGTAAAGCTATGACTCGTCATACATAGCTGTAATACGTTAGTTGGGTCAACGTCAAGGAGATGCTGAATTGTTCGAGTTACGGACATCGAGTTTCGAGCTACACACATGACCACGCCCACTTTTGAAAAATCACGCCCGTATTGTAGCTCGATGTTTAATTAGCATGTTATCAGACCTTCGAGTTACGGGGAACACGCTAATTAAAATTCGAGTTGCGAAATTTAAACGTTAAACAAAACAACAAATCTATGTTGCCCTCTTACAACGATATGAACAAAGCGCATCAGTGCGTGTGTACAGTGGTTTTAAATACTGTGTATTCCTATACGGAAAGTGGGTACAATGTTAGCACACTATGTGTGTATAAATGGTACAAATGATACAAATTAACAATGTCTTAATGTATAGATGTACGCCAATTTTATGTTCAAAATGCACTTGCACTTGAAATGTATGCAATAATTAAAACGCATTTGCATTTTATTTTTATTCATCATACGAATTTTGATCGTTGCTGCCAAACTAACTTTTTTATTTTACCATATATATTGTAATTTTCAAACACAAGTATTTAATTATCCTCAAAGATATTTAAAGTTATAACTTACTTTTCCGGACAGTTTAATTCCTTTCCATATGCAAAGATATACCAGGATCCAGGCAATACTGAGGAAGAGGAACAATTCCCATACCATAGAGCCAAAGTCTTCTAAACCGGAGCTGATTTGGAGTACTCTGTGGCTGTTGAGCAAATGCATTATACGTTTATGGTATGCAAGTTGTGTGATATGGGATGCAAATCTGACGAAATTTGAAGATACACGCGATTTACGAAATGGTCACAAAATCGCTCAACAAACTTAAATGCTAATGCAAAAGAACTGGTTTATAGTGTTCGTCTCGGGCTGTTTGTGACTATTATCCTTGCAAATTCGCAAAGCATGTCTCGCCTATTTGTGTTCACACAACCCAACTTCCAAGCGCCCGATACGTTCTGTGATGCCATTGGTTAGAAATGCGTTAACGCGCACGCGGAATACGGTTTTCATCGCATATCCACGTACATATAGATATCGAATTTGCATACCTTTATATTATAAATCCATTATTACGTCACGTGCTAAGCACATTCGAACATTTAGTCATGCCTCTGCTACAACTTGTTTTTGATAAGACCAAAATCGAGGGTTATTTACAGAAAAATATTGCCATTTTTCGCTAGTGTATATTTGCGTCTATTGTACTCACTCAAAATATTCCTGTGTTGGAGGTATGCTATTATTAGGCTGAGTTTCATTTTCACCAAGATTCTCCAAGTCTTCGTACGAGAAACACTTATCTGTATTCCACCAGTTACCACATGTTCCGTAAGGTAACGGACTTACGAAAGATGCGACGAGATAGAACAATGCCCAGGCCATGATGACGTTGTAGTACGTACACAACAAATACGTCATAACAACTGTAGCCACACCAGTACCTGTGATCAAGTTATAACGCAACTGTTATATAATTGAACTTGAATATGTGGACCATGATAACTTATGTCGCCACAATAATGAATGGAACACCAAAATTCGCAATATTGCAAGCTAATTGGCTAACCATACATTAGTGGCACACTCAATATTTTCTTTTGGTAGCTTAGATTTTATTATAATTTCATTTATTTTAATTCCTTTTACAATGTGTTTCGTGTTACACACCACGTGATTTAAATAAAATGAAACACTATTATAAGGGGTCAAAGGGGACAGGTTACAGGAAATAAAAACGGCATTTTACGTTTTTACAGGAAATAAAATGAAAGTTCCATTTACATGATTAAAATTAGGTTTTTACAATTTACAGACAAAGAAAATTCCTAATTACATTTCTATAATATTTTTGATGATTTGTGTTTAAGAATCAAAATTGGAAATTGCGTACGAATTACGACATTTAATTTGGAAAATGCTTTATACGCTTACAACAAATAAATATCAAATTACAGACGAATAAAATAGCTGATTACATATTTCACCTTGACCATGTCTACGAATTTACGTTTTTTATTTATTTAAATTACATTACTACGAAAATAAAAACAATTGATTACAGTCTACGAAAAATACCCCTTGCCGACCCTCATTATAGGATAGTTTATCATCACAGTTGATCTCGATCGTTTACTGGTGAAACCACTATTCCAATATTTTGCACATGTATGTGGACAGTAGGTACAAGCTGAACAGTTCTTATCTCGTTCTGTACTTGTGAAGTGATAATAATATATCAGTTTAAAATATAATATAGAGGAAAGATTTGACTCTGAGAAAAATTGAAAATTTATTCGTTGTAAGATCTGTTCGCTTATAGTTTCAGTTAACACTGCGAGAGAAGGACTTTCCGTTTTCAACATTGTGAAATTCTTTCGTTTTTATGCAGAAAAATACAGTATTTTTACAGAGTAAAATCATATTTATTAAAGTTCTTGTTCATACATGAGTTGATTAACACTACATAGTTTGTAATTTCATTCAGCTTCTTTCAGTCATAATTCAAGACAAATAATGGCAAAAATATAGAGAACATATCAAATTATCTTTTTTTCTGTAATATTTGTGTGTAATCGGTAATTACGAAAATTATTCATGGGTGCATATGAATACATTTCGTTATGAATTATTTTTAAAATAAATTTCAAGGTCTTTGATACAATGATATTACCAATACTAACGTATGGGGCGGAAATCTGGGGTTTTAGAGAGTGTAAATGTCTAGAACGAGTCCAATATCTTGCCTGTAGAATGTTTCTTGGTGTTTCAAATAGATCACCAAATAGTAGTATTCTAGGAGAATGTGAGGAGATATCCTATCTATCCTGTACTCAGCGAAAACGCTGTATTAAATATTGAGCAAAATTAAACTCCATGCCAAATTCAAGGTACCCAAAGAAATGTTACAATATGCTATACAATATCAAAAATTCTGCAACCAGAACAAAATACACTGGATCAGTGACATCCAAAATTTACTTTCCATTTGTAATATGAATGATGCTTGGCATGCACAAGAAGTTGGAAATGTTAATGTTTTTATAAATACGTTTGTGAAACGATTCAAACAGTATCTTTCCTTGGTATGGCGGGCTGCCTTGTGTACTTTAGACAAGTTAGATAATTACTGCCAATTTAAAACTACCATAGAACCAGAAAGATATTTGTTTTCTGTTCATATTCGAACCCATATGCAAATCACTAGCTCGGCTAAAATGTTCATCACATTGTTTACAAATTGAAAAAGACAGAGGTCATTTAGAAAGAGATCAACGTACGTGCGAGCTTTGCAATATGAAATCTATTGAAAACGAGTTTCATTTTTTATTAGTTTGTAGTTTTTATAACCACATTGGATGTCTCTATATCCTACACTACTACTGCACTCCACCAACTGTAAATAAATTTATTGAATTACTCAAAATGATGTACTTCTACGGCGTTTAGCTGCCTTTGTATTTAATGCTATGAAACTTAGGAGGGAAGCAGCTGAAATATTGTAAATAATTTAAATATTTTGTATTTACTGTTTTGGGCCGATGGCCATGTATCAGTTAATAAAGATCCTACTGAATTAATGAATATGAAGTATACCAGAAAACAATTCCAAAAATACTAAACACAATTTTGATTTATAACACACAAGTGTTTTTAATGTTTTAGCAATGTCTTTTATTCAAAAATATGAAAGTGCTTTCACAAATTATATTTTACCATTAAATAAATAATATTTCAATCGATGGAAGCATCGGAATATTGTATTTTACCACATCCACGTGGTATGGAAAGCAATGATCTTTGACCTTGGCTAAATCTACGAGGATTTGCGAGCACTGACCTTTGACCTTGGTCACATCTATGTGGGCTGGGAAGCACTGATCTTTTACATTGGTTACAACTATGTTGGTTTGTAACAACTATGACCTTTGACTTTGGTTGCATCTATGTTGGTTGGCAAGCACTGACCTTTGACCCTGACAACAACTACTAGTATGTGGACTGACAAGCACTAACCTTTGACCTTGGCCACATCCATGCCTTGGTGTGGGTTCGCGATAAATGATCTTTGACCTTGACAACATCTATGTTGGGTTGGCAAGCACTGACCCTTGACCTTGGTCACACCTAAGTATAAGCAGTAGTGAATAATTGAATCTGATTTTTTTTAGTTATATCTGAAAACGCACTTAATGAGTGATTCATTAACTTGAATACTAATCAACAACAACAGTACCAACTATATACCACAATAGTGCCAACTATATACCACAATAGTGCCAACTATATACAACATTAGTGCCAATTTTATACCACAACAGTACCAACTTTATACCACATTAGTGCCAACTAAATGCCACATTAGTACCAACTATATACCACATTAGTGCCAACTATATACCACATTAGTACCAACAATATACCACATTAGTGCCAACTTTATACCACATCAGTACCAACTTTATACCACATTAGTGCCAACTAAACACCACATTAGTGCCAACTATATACCACATTAGTGCCAACTATATACCACATTAGTACCAACAATATACCACATTAGTGCCAACTTTATACCACATCAGTACCAACTTTATACCACATTAGTGCCAACTAAAC